TGCATAAGCAAGTACAGTCGTGTTCGCATACGCGTTCTCAGTCTTTTATACGTGTATATTAACGTATGCATTAGCGCCCACATTTATGCGCTTCAACATCATGCATACACAACAACTAGGCGTTTGTCAATAAATTTATCTCGTGTGTGTGTGCGTGTGTGCGGTGTGTGTGTGTGTGTGTGTGCGGTGTGTTTTATGCTCTTATGCGTTCAGTTGTATTGTATACCAGGATTTTATTTGTGGAGTCTGATGTTTTTTACATATGTGGAAAACTAAAAATACCATCATGATAAATCAATTCGGATAAAAAATGCGTTACACCTTTGCATTTATAGTAAGAATTTGCGCCTAACGAACATGGTTCTTAGGTAAGTGTTCATGTTTATAAACTGGAATAACTTTAGTGATTTTAAGGCATTCTGGAAACATTTAAGAAAAAAAGCAAATTTAAACAATAGGTTTGTAGATTCCAAAATGCTGATTCCAAATGTATCCTCTTGGAGGAATTGTAACTTTTTAAAATTGAATATTTCCAAAACTAATGTTATTTTTAATTTGAACTCAAGATCGTAACTAATTTACAATCTTTTTCAATAATTTATAATAATTCAATTATAAACAGAGTTTACCAAATTTCTAAATGTTATTATCTAATTATCATTAGTAACTTGAACCGAAAAGACCACATTTTATATATCTCAAAATCTATATAGAGGAATTTAGAAGATATTTGTAAATTATGATGTTTTTTCTAAACCAATTCTTATTAATCGTTGTTTTTCATTAACTTATAATATAGAATTACTATTTGTGGTCGTCAGGTTAAAACTCATTTATTGTTACCAACTCGTTGCCAAAATTTTCTTATTAGAATTTATTTTAACTTAGAAAATTTGATCATATCTCTGAATATTTTATACTTTTTAAGTTATTGTCTTTTCCAAGTTATAAATCAGTAATAAATTTAAAGAGTCTTACTTCTTTATAAACTAAGATGATATTGTCTCACTGCGAAACATGCCGACAAACTGTCTAATTCATTTTTTTATTAAATAATTTACATAACTAATCCAATATTACATACATACAATTCTAAAACATAAATTTAAAATAACCATTAGATTGGTGAACTATGGATAATAACCATTTAAAGGTTTTTCCAAGGTTATCAATCACCATTATTTTTTCCAACATTCTGGAGTCCCGTTTCAAATGATGATAAAAAATAGCAATGTTGATGAAGTTTCGCAACAGAAATAAAGAAAATGTAATTAAAATTACTCAACTGCTCAAAGACAGAATAAAATTTTTGCAAAACAAATAATTTTTTACAATTTAAAAAAAATTAATTATAAATATTTAAAGATGATAATGTGAAATTGTTTTTCTTTCGATTCACTATGATGATGACGGTTGAGAGATTGTAGATAACGATGGTCTACTGATGATACAACACATGAATGTTTTAATGTTATTACAGCAATGATGATGAATAATTAAAGTGAGTACTGCAATTATGAAGATGATGACAAAGATGATTGATCTGAAGTGTTTACCATCATGATGATGTTAAATATTTCATTGCAATCATGATAACGATCATGCGATGGAAGAATATTCTCAATATGAGAAGCGGGGAGGATGACAGCGATTGTGATGATGACTAGATCTTTTTAAATTTCCATCTCCCATGAAAATCCCTCTCCATCAACATTCTTAATAGCCGGCGCTTTCTTTTTATGAAATATATCAATGGCAATACATTATTAATCATACATTCTCTATCTCTCAAAATTACTACACTAACAACAAATGAATTACATACACGAACATTTTCATGCTGATATATATATCATCATTCCTGATATGTGTATATTATATCTTTATATAAAGTGTGCGTAGGATAATAAGACTTTTTAACACCGGCCGAATAGTACAATAACATAACCGGTCGGAGCCAAAAACCGTCGCTGGATGTCTGGCAAACAACATTTGTTGAACAGTTTGTAAAACTGCACTGCATTTCCACAAACATTAAGCACACTGAATCACGCGCACATTCATATTAACAATACCTACCATCAATTGTCTTTGCAATAACAGTAATAGATGTTTGGCGCATATTCTTACATTTTGTAGAACGACATTTTATTTCGAATAGATAAGAATTGTAGAAATCTGGTAAGTTTGTGTATATAAAGAATTTAAAGCATAATGTGATGCAGCGGCGGATCCAGACAACTTTGACGGGGTGGCCTAAATTTTCAAAATCTTTCAACGTTGACTGGGGGAATTTTCACAAAAGTTGGAAATGTTTAAATATTGAAGCCAAATTTTTTTACGGGGGACCAACATTTGTTGTAATATGGTAAAAATTAGGCTGACGACTCCCAGGACTCCTTGATCCGCCACTGTAGGGATGTCATAATATTTGAACTCGTGAACATCAGGACAATTATAATTATCTGATTCAAATGGAATTTATGAAGAGTATAGGTTCAAACAAGAGAGCATTATTGCAATGGGAAAATACCATCATTGATGTAAATTTATGTTGCTCCCGTTTTAAAATGACCTTTCAACTAACGTGAAAACGTAAAACACTGACGATCTATAATAATTAGTGAGTTAGTGATAAATGATTTCTGGCTCCCTGAAAAGTTAGTCGTTAACTATTATATCAATGGTATTAAAGGAAATATGTAAAATTACTTAACAATTACAAACGAGTAGGTAGAAATAAGTTGCAGACATCGTAATTAACATCAAAAAACAAGTCTGCTTGGGATTTTGAAAATACTTTTGAAATATCCGACAATTAATTTTGTAAAACATCTTTATTCATAAACGTGCACAAAATTCATCCTACAACTTCCTATTCCCAGTTTGTTAAAGACAAAAATCAGTTGCATATTGTTATTTTCCATTATAATCTTCATCATAGTTCATTTAAGACTGTTTAAAAATTTTTAAAATTAAGCGTGTTTTAATTATTTTTTTATTTTCAATAAAATGTTCAAAGAGTTTATCCATAGATCGAAGCCTGTATTGCAATTTATGTTTGATTTATTTATCATCGCGAATAATCACGCAAAAAAGTTTAGCTAGTTGCTTTTGTTTCTATGTGCTCTTCGGCTGGCTACGTGTCCTGCACATGTATGCTTAGCACTAAGTTTAGGGAGAAATCAACAGTAAACAGTTCCTGTCTGGTTGCGTGTACTTATGTAAGAGCCCGTGACATATGTGCATCGGTTAATTTGTTCCATTAGTGCTTAACTGGGAAGCAGTTTCTGCACTGTAATATTAACAGATACTTACATGCATATACACACATGCACGTATGAATGTATCGGTACATTCTATACTCTACTCATTTCATACATATAAGCAAATTTATTTATATTTTTATATTTTATGTTCATTCGTTCGTTTATATGAATGTTGTGTTTTGTAGCCATGTAAGACCGTTTGCATATTGATCTGCAAACAATATATATATATATATATATATATATATATATATATATAGGTACATATTTGTTGCGATTATAAAAACACATAGTGACGTACACACACACACACACATACATACGCACGTAAGTACACATACAACACACACACACACACACACACATACATACATACAACATATATCGTACATAATCATATGTATCACAGTGGATGTATCGATCCAATTGCACTCGTTTGGTTTCCAAGATTTTTGCATACGTTTGTATGTTTACATACAAACATACATACAATGCAGATAATAATAATATATCAGTATAACGGTAGCGTTATATATTCATTTACGTCTAACAATGCCTGCATTTACGAGCTATTTATACTTATTTATTCTTCTAATTAATTATGATTAACATGTGCTGCGTGCCAGATGTAATACTTGCGCCTGCATGCATTTTATCATTCATAAGCACATCAGTACCTAATTTTATTTCTGTTTTGCTATCAAAAAGTAATTTTGTTGATTTCATTGTTTCAAGTAATATTCTGTCTAACTCTATCTGTCTAAACACATTTTTTAAACTGTACTGAAATTATTTTTTTGATTTATAATCGTTATGATTTTTTCAAACTTTCCGTCAATTGTACCTCAATTTTTCACGTGTGATTTAAAAAACTGCTCCCACTTTATTCAGATCTAGTGGCAAATATTTACTTGTACGTGCGTGCAAACATCAGCAATATCTGCTCGTTCAATTATTCATATCAATAACAACAATTTTACTGTTACTTCATGTTATTCGCTATTCCAAATAACAAAATAGTAACCAGACGCATATTTTATTCATTGAGTTAGTTAAGTGATTTGGTTTTTTTTTCAACTTTTTTCAACGACATTCGAAGCACATTTGTATGAAACTCAAACAACTCGAGAAAACAGAAAGATAATATGGAGAGAGAAAAGAAGGAAGACACGCACAGAAGATGGCAGCATCTGTTGTTGTAGCATTGAATTTTTGCCAGATAAGAACACTTGTTTAAATTCCTCTAAGGATTATTCTAATTAAATAATTCAGTGAAACATAGCAGACCACAGGCAATTCAATTGAGGAAGCCTCATCTCTTCCTTATTTGCTTCTCATGCCTACTTAGTCTATTGCTTGCTATAAAAATTTTTTTCCTATATTTTGTTAAATTGAAGTAATATAATTATTTTAAAATTTAACGTTGTGTAAATGTAATACTTTAACGATTATCGTTCTAAATAGATGCTTAATTGCAGTTTTTTTAGTATAAAAATAATGTGAACAAAAGCATTTTTAAAAATTAACCAGAACATCTTTTTATTATTTTACCGATGGCCATCTTAATACTGACCTTTCATCAAATAATCAACCGACAAACCAACCAGTCAACCAAACAGCCAACCAACTATACAAACAAACAACCAAACAGTCAACCAAACAACCAGCCTAACAACAAAACAGCCAACCCACCAACCGACAAACAAATAAACATCCAACTTACAAACTCACCTATGTACAATGTTCCTGCCATGCAGATAATCCAAAGCAGAAACCAGCTGACGGACGAATGGTCTCGAAGAACTCTCCCCTAATCTCTTATCCGGGTGGCATTTAATGTATTCCAGCAGCTCGCCGCCAGGGGCATACTCAGTTACAAGGCAATAGAGTGTTTGAGCCTAAAAATGAATTTTTTTTAAATAAATTGTAAAACGTCTAATGTTGTTTAATGTATCGTAAAGAAAGATAACCTACTTTTAAGGTTTCGTATAGTCTGATAATGTTGGGGTGTCTGAGAGCGGTCATCAGTCTGGCCTCTCTGTGTAGGTGTGTCCTCACATACTCATCCTTTATCTTTCTTGTGTCTATTATTTTGATGGCCACCTGGCGTTCATGTTTGTTATTATATTCGTTTTTATGATTGTTGTTATAATTATGTTGATAATTTAAAATCAGTGATATATAACTTAATGGCATGAACATTTACCTTTGGCTTGCAAAACACTCAAATTGTTTGTTAATACTATGTATATGGGTGGGTCTCATTTTATATGTTATGTTGCATATGTTAGGGAGAGTTTAGTGCATTCATGACAAATGGGCACCTATTAAAATTGACAAAAAACAAAATGAACAATCTTTATATATTTTTGCTGGAGAATGGGCAAAGAATGAGTGAAATAAAACTGGCTAACTCAGTCGAAATTAGCAAATGTAAATCTTTTGATAACGAACTCAAAATATAAGGTCAGCTTATATTCTAATAATTACTTTGATGAAACTGTCTCAAATTTGTACATGACCGTCAAGCAAGTCGAACTTGCGCGTACATTTCTAAAATTGACGAAACACATTCATACTTGCGTATATGTGTACCAGTACATGTGCGTACATACATGTATTCGTACTCGTAGAGGCTCATCTTGTACAAAATGTGTAGAAAGGCTCTCTGAAGCAATCAATAGTAACGTTTCCATAGTAACATATAAGTTTTGATCGTTTATCTATTAATACTATGCAACGTTAATTTCAACATCTTTATGAGAATGTCGGTAGGTATACAAAAATATGTGTGAAGTTATATCATTCAATTCAATAAATTCAAATTGTTTTCACAATTAATATGGATAATGTTATTTTAAATTAAAACATAGAAACCTTTATATATGATTGAAAGTCAGTGAATTGTTAAAAAGTATGAATGTCGCTCAATGTTCAATTTAATGTTACTCGAAATAATAGTAATGACTATGAAAATTAAATAATTTTTTACATGTAAGAATGCAACACAGTATAAATAATGTAAAGAGGCATTACATTAAACGAAAATTATAATATGATATGACAAAAATGACTCTACCTTAACTTCTGTGACACTGTGGGTTGCCAGTTCAACATGGGCGAAGTTTCCTTTTCCAAGATTTACTCCATCCATCACATATCTGCCTATACATTTAATTTTTTTTCCCATAATAAGCCTTTATAACTTTCGTTTAGCTTCCAGCTAAAATAGGCTATAAAAGCAATACCGAAGACGATAGCAGCGGCTACGTCAACTTCCCGTGAGTCTTTCTGAGATTGGAGGATAGATGGAGTAAATAAAATTACGAATGGAAGGATTGTGAAAATGCTTTTTAACTTTTCAACCGAAACCTACCACCTGTTAATAAGAACATCGCTGTTAGTTGGCGACCGACGAGAGTCTGGCCTTCTGATGTTCTTCTAACTAGTAAAAATGGGGATTTTTAAATTTTTGTTCTCTTATAGTCGCTTTCGTGATTTGTAGATGCTTTCGTAAAAATGAGGTTGCGGTGGCTTTCAGTTGGCCAATGTCGGAAAAAGTAGCAAGATGAAAAACATCTTTAAAACTTGAAATTTGTATGCTGAAGAGGTAACCATGTTGATGTTATAAAATAAAAAAACCAGGGTTAGTGATGTTTTTGATGGTAATCTTCAATTCCTCGCCGTTTGGGTAGAAATTTCAAGATGTTCTTGGTACTCGTCCTGAATGTGTTCAACAGTTACAAGTTACTTTTGATACGTAAGACGACACCATTTCAACTTAAAATAACGTAAATACGTTTATATATGATTTCAGATAAATCTGATTTAACAGTTGCATTTAATAAATATATTGTTGCACATAATGAAACAACGTGGAAATTAAGAGCCGTAATTGGCTCGCACTCGCACGCAGATTGCAGATCAACTAGTCAGGCGCTCTGGACGTTAAGATCTTTCATTCTTATCGACCTGGCAAGCTTTCAACAGAACTTTCAAAAGAAGACCGGATACATCGTACCCTGTTTATAAAAGTTTTCTACTTTTGTTAGAAAATTATTAAGTTTTCGAACTTTTTTTATAAAATTATAAAGTTTTGTACTTTTTTATAAAATTATTATTATAAAATTTTGATACTTTTGTTATAAAACTATAAAATTTTGCACTTTTGTTATAATGCTGTAAAGTTTTGTACTATTGTTATAAAGTATGATAGTGCCCACTTGTTTATTCTTTTGATATATTTCTTCAACTAAATTTAAACGTAAATTAAAAAGGTTTTATCAGGATTTTATCTAAAAAACATTGCTCACACATAATTGTTGATTCAATATCTATTTATATCTTCTATCTCATTCTCCAATCATTATTATTAATTTATTTTTATTTTCAACTTTTAAAAGAATTTGTATTTGATTTTCGTATTCGTAGAACGCTCGCAGAATATACTTTTTACTACATTTTATTTGTGATTTTGAAAAAATTTGATTATTAATTTATTTTTCATTTTTAAAATTAATTCAGCTTTTTTATATAAAAAATTTTGTTAATTGGTCATGTTAGTTTAATGATAGAATAGGTTAAAATTTTGTTAATGTTCTTCAATAAATATGCTATGTTTATTTAATAATTTTGTACTTTCTTAGAAATTATTTAATATTTAATTTTAAAATCACTAACAAGATGTGAAGTTTTGCAATTAATTGCTGTCAAAAGTTAGCTAAAGTCATTAATACGGCAAAATAATGAAAATGAAAAGATTGCAAATATAAGTTTTATAATCTGAAAAGTTTTTAAATTTCCAGCTAAACTTATAAAACCAAGCTTTGGAGTTGAAATTTTAACAAATTTGCAACTGCTACGTAACAGTCTGGAACAAATGATGCGAGATGTGGAAGCAAAATGAAAAGCTAAATAAGCGAAATTGTTCAACACAATGACAGAGCATTATTTATTTTCATGGGTTAATTTTATCAAATACACCTTGTTTAATATTAACATAATACACTGTTCTCCTGCATACATGTTTTCCAATTAAAACTTTATGAAGATAACTATGAGAATAATACTGTCGTATTCATTTAGTACTTTGATTTGAAAAATTGTCAACAGATCCTTGATCATCAGCCAGGAATACCTCACTAAAGATTTACATAATTCTGTTTGAATATCGCACTAAGGATTTGTATTATTTTGTTATTAGTTAGGATTTGTATAATGTTGTTATTTGTTACACCTTGTTTTTCACTCAAAATCATTTTTTCAATTGACCTTAGCATCTGGTTGTCGTTTTTGCAACTTCTTGGTACTATTAATAACTTACAATTTTAGGAAACGATAACTCCAATATTTCTCACTGACAATCAAAGTCCAGTTTTACGAAAGGTCACTAAACTTCAACTTGGCGAATTTATTAACCAGATGACTGCAAATTTTTTAACAATAAAATGCATCTGTCATTTTTCTGGCCACTGATGTGGTTATTTCAAACCTGTTTTTATCCAAGTCACATCTTTAGCATCGTTCACCGCAGTACCAGCAACATGGAGGTGTAATTTTAAAGTTGACGTCGTTAACATGCAGCAAAAATGATTTATGTTCCAGTACTGACCGTTAGAGTACCAATTGGAAATGTCCTCTTGTATGGCCATCACAATCTAGTTTACAATCCACTGTAGAACTTCTGATGAAAAACAAAAATTACATCTGTTTGGAGTCTCAGACAATTTTGTCAAAAAATATTTATGATACAGTACCAACAGCTTTCGAAATTCAAAAAATTAATTGAAGCTTGTTCATATTGTTTGGATGGCATCTTATATAACCTTTTAAAACTAAGATGAATAATAAATACAAATAAAAGATTAATAAGGATTAACTTCGAATTGGTTCAAAATAATTTTAATAAATTGGTACTACGTAGAACAAAAATGAGAATTTGTTTTGAAGATAAAATTTAAAAATAGAAAATTTGCAAGTTGCTTTGTCTTGAAAATAATTTTCGAGGTATCAAGGGCTGACCAGGCGTGAAATAGAATAGAGAGGGGGAAATTTTTTTATTTCAGGTACTAAATAGGGAGAGAACAGTTATGATTCTCCCTCTACCCTCCCCCACAAATGGCGCCCATGGCAGTATTTCTAATCACTTATGATTATGTATTTTGTACTTGTAAGGAAATAATGTACTTCACAGTAAATATCTAAACCACTGTCTCTATATGAATTTGTGTACACATGAAAGTTTCTCTGGTTGTATTGAAAGACTTCCAATAAGTTTTGACCTAATTTAAATTTAATATGTAATTTGCCTAAATTGGTTTTTAACATTTGAATCTTTGGAATTTAAATAAATATTCAGTTATTCAGTGAAATAATCTAATGCCGCATCAGTTCAGCAGTTTGGGAAACTTTTTAAAAGAGTGCATCGGTGCATCGAATATTGTTGTTACGACTTCATATTGAAAAATAACTTTTTGGCATGGTAGTGTTGTTTCATTGAGACACGTTTGTTGTAAATATTTTGCTAACAATCTTGTTGATTTTATTGCCAATCATGCTTGCCATCTGCCATTTTTCGTGTTGTCTGTGACATGACGGCGAATTTCGGTGAAGAAATGTTATAGCGCGTTACTATTAAGATACCACGTTCCTTATGCTTCTAATGTTTTGTTACGAGTTTTGCTTCGTAATAAATTATGTGACGTCATTTAATTAAATTTAATATAATATTCAAATTTACTACTCTAGTTTTCTATTAACAGTGTTGACAAATTTGACGCTATATGTTATATTTATTGAGTGCTGTCACATTTAAATGCTTTATTATTTCGATGTGTGGTGAAGTTTTGGTTGGCATTGCGATGATATCTCACTATAATTAAATACTAATTCAAGCTCTGCTGAAATATTTTTAGTAAATTTTGAAAATTTAAATAATTTTTAATTGCTCCAGGTATCAAAAGTCTGAAATTTATAGGTCCATCTGATGAATAATTTGAATTTTAATGTTGTTATAAAAGACCATTATTGACCTTCGTCATTAAGACCATTATGCTCAAATGTTGAAAAACAATTATTTTATTGTGTTAGAAATATTCAATTTTTAAAATGTAAATATTTTCTTTTCGTTTGCTTCGTTTATGGTTTACACTCTTGTTATTTTATTATTTTTATTATCATTTCAATGTTATTATTTATTATTATTATTGACATTCCTTGAAATGTTGTTATGTTTATCGTTTCCGTTCTTCGTTTCTTTGTTTATTTTATTTTTATTGTCGTCTAATTTTCTTATTTTTCTTCTTCTCCATTTTTTTCTCTCGACGCGCTATTGTCATTGCTGCAGCTACTGCTGTTCTCGCTGCTATGCATATTGAAGATGACGATGACGATGACGACGATGCAGATGATAACGAAGAAGATGACGATGATGACAAGGAAGATGATGATGATAACGATACAGATGATGATGCAAATGAAGATGATGATGCAGATGCATATAATGATGGTAATGACAATGGGGATAACGTGGATGCAAATGATGAAGATGATGACCACGACGATGATAAAGATGATAGTGGGGGATTGTGTGATAAAATTTTTGAAGTCATCCAATGGATTTGATGATAAAAAATATTAAAGTGAAATTAAAAGTTCTTTTATATTCCATCTCAAGGTCAAATGAGCTGACCAACATAAGAAGTCTTCAACTGCTCGATGGATAAATTTTGAAGAAAAAAAAATAATCAGAAATTTTTTTAATTAAGTGATTATACATTTAAAAAATTATCTCGCTTTTATGGTTTGCACCTCTTGTTTACTGCGTACAATTTGAAATAATTGTCCTTTATATTTTCATGACTCAATAATATCATATAATACAATCTGCACAATAATTTTGCTGATTAAAAATTTTTTATCAAATTAAAAATTAATTTCCACATTTTTTATAAAATTACTATCAATGTCGTTGCAACGGTGGAGTCATTTCGGAGACATCACAAGATAAAAATCTAACCTTGGTTTCACATTGCGATGCTCTTTAAAAGACGTCAAACAATCTGGATGTCATGTCTTGTTAAAATCCAAATTTTCAAGCTTCCACAAGTATTAAACAATTTAAATAGTAATAAATAAATAAATAATATAACAAAA